TTTTAGGATGGTAATGTTAATTGTTTTAATTTTCGTCAACAGTAAAGAAAGCCCCGGTCGAGGAGTCCGACCTGCCCGAAGTTGACCAGAACACGAACAAGACGCTGCGGCAGCGACAGACCGCTAAGGCGAAGTGAAGCACGCTCACTTATTCAATACTTTGACATTAACTGTATCGTTAGGTTGTCGTCATCCCGTCGTAACTGAGTCTTTCCACTACTACACTTTAGTTACTTCTTGCTGACTCTTCTGTCTCCCTCTAGATATCAATGTTATAGCACAAAGCAGTTCTTTTGTATTGTGAGACCCGTAACGGACTCTGATACTCTCGTAATCGATGTCGATGTTTATTGATGTTAATGTATAGGTATCAAGCACGTATGTGACAAGACTTTATCGTAGTTATATTGTATCTTCTTTTACGAAACATTAATTTAGACTGTGCAACATAATTATCGTCATTAAAAGTATAGTGGATACAGGGTTGTAAAAATATCTCCTAAAGTGTAAAAAATGAAGTCTAGGTTAAACTGTTGTTTATATGAATATATTGATAAGAATATTGAAGTACTGTGTGTTCATACACATTAAATGATGAAAATTCCATTTTTATTTTGCATTTCAATATTTAAAAGAAATTATTTTATGTTGTATTAAGATGGATTCCAATACGAGTTTACTTTTTAAATTATATTTTTATATTTACAGTATACTTTTAATATAATTTAGCAGTTTCTATGTTTTTAATGGATGATTCTCTTCTCTGTCTCGCTGTAAGTATGTAATCAGGTGCTGATGCTGTCCAGCATGTGTATTGTATCACTTATTCTTTGTACACAATTATGTATTCATTGCATTTGGAATGAAGGTTTTGTCTTGTTTGCGTTACACTTTGAGATTGAATCCGTGATTATTGTTATACTTTAATGTGAACTAAAGAAATAATGAAATTATTCTTCCTAATGTGAAATTGTGCTCATAAATTATTATATAATTTTCATGAGAATTGTCAATTTTAAAAGCTTGATGTTATTTTTATTTCAAATAAATTTTTGTAAGAAATTATGTTTGATATTTAATTGTGGATTTTTTATTTAAAAACCCATAATGTCCAAGACTAACGTTAATCTAAAATAATCCACATTACGTACGTACTTGCATGAGCATATAAGCCAAATTATGGACTAAATAAATAAAATCCCTAAACAAACCTGCTATTTATTTTTTTTAAATTCAAATTGTTTATTATCTCAAGAATTACAATATCTGTCTAACGTTATGGCAGTCCCAGTAAGTTATTATACAATACTTGTGTTGGGCTTCACTCGCTCCTTCCTTTATTCATTTGTGAACTTTTAATTTTTGATTATGAGTCAACTGTACCTCTACAATATTATCCGCTCTAAGGTTCCGACCATGTTCTAAACTAGTGGTAGTACCGACCACAGACGGCAGACTTCTGTCCTTTACCTTTATTTTCCAATCTTTAAATAGGACAAGATGTAATAACTGGTATTATTTATGTATTACAATGCAAGTAACAATAAGTGCTAACTGACAATCATAAAAATCTTGTAAATTGATAATTTTATTGATACTTTAATTAAAATTGCAGGTAATACTTACCTGTAGTGTACTTCAATGTAAATGTTTATGGATCGTAAGTAGGAGTTTACATGTTAAGTCCACTACATTAAAATTATCTAATAATGTGATTTACGAACTGACTGCTTCGTTGGCCGAGTGGTCGCAAGTGCGACTGCCGGGCAAGGGGTTCTCGGGTCGGGCAAAGTAATACTGGGTTTTTAAAAACCTCGGTAATAGCACGGAGTCTGGAAATGTGCTCGGTACCTATATGGCAATAGGCTCACCCCCTGTTACATGGGACTCATAACATAAATAGTGAAAAGTGGGTGTTACATTGTACAGTGGCATTAAGTGCCGAAATGTGCACCTCTGCCTACCCCTTCGGGGATAAAAAGGCGTGATGTTATGATGGTGATGATTTACGAACAGTTTAGTACGGTTACGATATTAGGAATTTACTAAGGTGCCGACCGTTCGATAGATAATAATGAATATTTATTGTTTCGCCACTTATAAAAATAGAACTTAGAAAAGTGGCCATATTTCCCATGTTTTTTGTGCCAGGTTAAATTGATGTGTGTCTAGGAGATTTGCATTTACTCGAATGGCATCAATCGAATCCATTTTTTGATATTTTTTGACTATTAACATACAATAAATAGGTAGTGTGTTACATGTTAGCGTTTAACTAGCCATGGAATTGATTTATTTGACTGGCATGTAGGACGTTTGTACCAAAGTACCCAAGTAGGTACATAGGTAGTGAGTAGACATCTTTTTTCAATAACTTTTTCTTCTTCCTTCGCCTCTGACTGTACTTACCGTGGCTAATTGATTCCTACCTGTAAACAATTGTTCGGTAGATAATAGAGGTAATGTCGTAAGATAACAATACTATAACATTGAGACGTGAACATTTCATATTTTATTACTTGTCTCGTAAAAACCATTCGTATAAATGACATTATGTAACACATATGAGATTTGTTGACAATGTTGTAAATATCAAGATTGGCCTCGGAAAATCCTTGCTTGTACATTACGCCTTCTGTTCTCTGAAGGGGCAGGTAGAGGTGTCAACATCCACTTTTTCTTAGTTATGCCCCGTTTAGGTACTCACAGCGTTGTACGACGGCGACCTCTCGCGTCCGGCTCTGATTTTGGCCATGGTACGGAGCGAGGAGGACTAGGTCCCCCTAGGACTAAGGCCTGCGGACGGCGAGCAAGGGTAGCTCGCCGTCCAGACCCGAGCGTATGGCGCGTCGCGTTCCGCGCGCGCCTCAAAGAGTCATCAGACCACCAGAGATGGGGACCAATAGGACTGATGCCTGTACGGAGCCGCGGAGGACTTAACGGGTTGCCGGGGTTCTGGCTCGAAATGCAGAAGTAGGAACGGGGTGGTTTTTTTAGACAGTAAGAGTCTGATACTCCCTCTCGCCTCACCCGGGTGGGAGAAGTAATTAGTGCATTTTCCCCCTCAAAAAAAGGGTAGTACGTAATTAAATACTTAGAGGAGGGCCTATTGTCACCAACTAGACACAATCCTATATTTATTTTTCTTCAGATTAAATATTTAAAACTGTAGACTGTGATGCTATTCAGTAATTCCTTAAAGCTTTTATTTTTGCAGATTTATCTGTAACTTGTTTCGAAAAATTTAGTTTGATGTGAAAGTGTGGCAGTCTCTTACCGTCTTTACGGGCCATATATGTTTTTTTTAAATCTTTATTTAGTAAGGGGTTTTTATCCACATCGATATGTCAACCCCATTGTACCTTATATTTTCACAAAATTATTATACATAGGTACACATATTATTATAACTTAATAAAAAAAACTATGCTATGCCTAAATCACCATACGAAGGGGAATTACTGCCTAGAGCTTTTAATTAAGGTAGAAATAATAATGCATTTATTCATTTTTGATTTAAGGTGAGCTAAAATGTTTTGTATAGGTAAGTCTAACATCCTACAAGTTTAATTTGAACTGCATAGCCAAGGATCCCCTCTCATTTATTTTCTTTTCATCATTCATATATGCTATAATCGAGTTTTGGGATTGACCATACACACAAACTCATAAACATCTTTACTAGGCCACAATCTCCGGAACATGTAATGTACCTTGAGCAATAAATCTCGTTACATTTCACTGTTAACTACTCTAACTGTGTGAGTAGCCATAGCACTGCATTGCTTTTGCCGAATGACAATTTTAGTTTATGAGGTCACGAAAAAGTCGATAGAATACTGTCTGGTCTAGATTCTGTAGGTACCTAGCCTAGGTAACCTACACTAGAAAATTGGGACGACACAATTAAATTCTAAGAAACATCAAAAAACATTAACGCTGTGATAGAACGATAGGTAACTGCAAGCTGTTGGAGTTTAAGTCGTTTTGAACTGGAACTGAAAAAATGACAGCTTTGGAAGCTTAGGAATAAGTTCAAAGCTAAGAATAAATTAGCTTATATCTACATTGTTATCTATCTATCTTATCGCACACAATATAACATCACGCCTTTTTATCCCTGAAGCGGTAGGACATGCACATACGGCATAATGCCACTTGTGAGTACAACGTAACACCCACTTTTCACTATTTATGTTATGAGTCCCATGTGGGGAGGGGATGAGCCGATTGCTATATGCCAGGCACAATTCCAGACTCCAACTCCGACTGAGATTTTTTTTAAAACCCAGTAATACCTTGAATAGTCGTTGATAACAGTTCCGTTAAAATAGCGCGATCATGTCATACGAAAGTTTTATTAGGTGCCTACTCTACAACCTGTATTGTGTGTAGGTGCCAATTAGTAATCTAATTAACTTTCAAACATCCGCGACAATCAACTAGTTTAAAATTGAGGAACATCTTTCTTAAACATTATGCAAATTATCCAGGTCACACGGTTTAGAATGTTCCTTATTCTGTGGTATGGTGCCGGTTGGACAAACCAAGGATTCAAATCTGACCAGACGATCTGAGAGGACTGTCGAACCTAAGACTGTTTTTTAAAAACATGTTTTTTTTAGCAAAAATATCGAGATGGTGACACACACGAGTTAATTTTATGGGTCTAGATAGGGGCAGGCCACTAGAACTAGGTACCTATTATTTTTTTTTAAACATGAGGACTTTTGGAAACTGCTATACTCTTAACCTAACTAATTTTTACTTTCATTTCGAAACTCATGTTTTTGTCGATACGAATTGCTATTTTTTGGTTCCCATTCAATTTGATGATAGGTTTTTGCCGGCGATGACCGTTATTGCGGGCCGTGCATCAAGATGCGCGTGAGTTTCCGCTGAGACGTTGCCACTGTCGCGATATATAAGCCTTATAGGTGTGTGAGCGAGTACGGTGAAGCCAGTTGTTGTTCGACGTCTGTACAGTGTGCACGTACAAAATGCATAAGCTTACTTTGTTCATCTTGGCGGCAGTGTTTGCCGTGGCCCTCGCAGGTTAGTGCCCCCCAGTTTTTACCGCCCCAGCGTCCGAGCTGACTGGCAATTTACTTTTCTAAGTGTCATTTTGTGTAATTTCCGATCAGTTTCGGAGGGAGATCAGTGATCTTGCCAGTAATTGGATTTACCTTGGTGATTCATGTGTTGTCTTTGTGAATCAGCAGGGTCGATCATTTCTGAAATCATCACTGATTGGCAGGTGAAGAACTCTTTTCATACTTAAAAATATAAATAAGTACCTAGGTACTTAACTAGTTAAAGAATTATTAGATAAACCGTTAACGCTATCGTCAGTAGGTACTATGTTCAGTAATCGCTTTTTCAGCGATCATATTGCATTGATATGGTGCATTCCAATGTACTTACATCCTGGAGGATACAAGTTAACTTATAAGTAAAACATAATTATTAGATATCAGAGATGGACCCCTCATTCATCAACATGATAATCAAGACCATGTAATGTTCATAATTAGAGTTGTATTTTAAAATACCAGAAGAAACTTAGGTATGTGATGATGCCATTGAATACTCGATAGTTTATTAGGTACAAGTCTTGAAACCAGTAACTAGGTACTTACATACCTTGCTTGCTTTCCATATATTATTATGTACGTTTTTCTCTATAACACATGTAATATAGCGAGCTGTGCTCGTGCATTGCTAAAAGTTTTATTACCTTTCATACGAATGTAATTTGATATAATGAGTTTAAATATTCATCCGTGTCTATCAAATTCGTATTAAGTATCATATAAAAACTATTTTATATATATTCTTTCTTACTTAGGTAAACAGAAAAAATCTTTATTGTGTTCAGCATTTGTGCAATCGTCATGTATTGGTGCTAGATATCAATTCGCGATATGCATATCGAATTACATTAGGTAAGCAATATCTACTAGTAACATACATTGGTACTTCGCAGTTCAATTAAACTTTTTTTAATATGTTACTTACTTCGAGCTATTAGAACATCATATTTTTTACATAATATTCCACGATTATGAGTAATGATGTACCTATGATCAAATCCTGCCGGTCACGATTTGCTGAGGTCATGTTTAAAAAGCAAACGCCTCGAACATTTAACTACGGTGATTAGTGATGATCTCAGTTTTAAGGTGAATGGCTTCCTGGTTATCCGATACATGATTATATTTTTCCTTTAGCTAATTGTTAATTAAGGTAACCAAGGTTTAAGATTTTGCAAATCTTTTAGTTAGATATTGAAACCGTGTTGATAAGAAAACTATTGGACGTTTCGACTCCGGTGTTGCTTGGGGCTTTTAATATCCATTTATAACCACGTTTAATTGTTATTGAGTAGGTACTCGTTTCTTTTTTTATAATAAAGTTATTAAATTAGTAAGACTGAACTGACTGACTAAAATATTACCATACCATTTCATACATTATGCTTCTTATATTCTGACAGGACAATACAAGTATTGTTTCATTGTATCTTCCAACTACCTTGTATGTATAAAGAATTTGCTAGCATGAGCACGAGTGACATATATGTGCATTGTGCACATTCCAGAAGGACAGTACTATGTTCCTCGCGCGTACTACACCATAGACGCTGAGGGTCATGAGTCTGCACATGTGCCGCTGCGTCGCCTGCGCCGGTCGCTGCAGCCCTACCCTTACAGTGCTGATGCCACTGCTAACGCCAACGCTGAATCCTGTGAGTATATTTATTACAATACTTCAATAACATATAAATATCATCAGACATTTGATTTGAGTAGAATTATTTTCTTTTAATTTTGTTTGATATGTCTATCAGACAAATCAAACAAAAGCGTTAAAACAATTTTAAACCAATAATTAGTTTCAAAATTACAAATATTAAAATGTACAATATTAATATTAGCACAAAAAGTTTACACAGAATACCAATTCTAACGTTTGACTTACACATATTTACACAGCATTCCAGTCTCTAGGAGCACTTACTAGGTCACTCACAGCTATAAGGCTTTCAACAATAGTAAATACGCAAGAGTAATTTGCAGCTGGAATAGCGCTCGACTTGAACAAGCAACGCAATTTAACCCATAATAAAATAAACTAGAACCGCGTGTAGCATGTACATTTAATATCACACTCGTTTAAAAATTAGATCACAGTTATGTTTCAAATCAGGCATCATGCAGGTTGGCATCAGCTAGAATACTTCCATTGATAAACAAAGCCCTAAAAAGAACTAATTAAGGGGTTTTCCAAAATCGCCACGCGTTTTTGAGGGGGGAGAATCATCCAATGGCTTCTCCCGCCTGAGAGGGAGTGTCAGATTATTACTAACTAAAAACCACCCTGTTCCTACTCCTCCTAAGGTCACCGAAAGTTTAGAGGATGCTAATGCCTACTCTCATTAGTTGGTCACATAATATACTAGGGTTAAATGTAGATTAACATAACTGTTACTCATCACTTAAAGACCGAGGAGGAGGACTTTTTTACCTCACGCCTTTTTTTATTCCCGAAGGTGTAGGCAGAGTTGCACATTGTGGCACTTAATGCCACTGCCTACAATGTAACACCCACTTTTCACTATTTATGTTATGAGCCCCATGTAATAGGGAGTGAGCCTATTGCCACACACCACAATTCCAGTCACTGTGCCACTGCTGAAATTTGTTTTAAAAACCCAATAGTACTTAGCCAGACTCGGGAATCGGACCCGAGACCACTTGCCCGGCAGTTGCCCTAACGACCACTCAGCCAATGAGTCAGTAAATGTAGATCAATTTAATAATGATACAGTTTTACAAATAGCTACATGACGTATTTTCCCACGGTGCTGCATGTGTTAAATTTGTGAACACGTTTTTAAATTAGATCACGGTCATAAAATTAATTTGCAGACATGGCCTGCATTGTAATGAGTGAAGGTGTTCGTGTGATGCATATGAAAGATTACAGAGAAAAGGTGCTGATGCCTGCATCGGTTCATTGTTGGTAACTAACGCACAATAGTTTTAGTTGGTATTAAAACTGCATACCCATACATTTTACATTTATAAACAATTAAAATATGATTAGATATCAAACACCAATATGATAATAAGGTATGTAACTACAGTATTCTAATTTTAAAGAAGAACGGGCGGAAGTGGTCCAAATGGCATATTTAGAATAAAAAGGAAGTTCTGATAATGTCTTCTAGTAAAAGTAGTTATCAAACCATTCAATTCAGTAGCCTATTCAAATCTGAAGTGGTTATCTATAGAGCTATTAAGTGTTCAAGTGCAAGACTTGTTCTCATCTTGAGTGGTTGTTTGAAGTGCTTAGATACAAGTAGTATGTCACATACATACACATCTCTTGAGACTTCTGCAAAATACGAGAAAATACGTGACGAATTCTGTAAAATAAGAGATGCAAATAACAAAAGTTACGTCGCTTTATCACAGAACAACAGTACACCAAGGTTACATACACTAATAAATCTTTACATAGAATAAAATCGCAACTGATAACTGTGTGTACATTAAAATTATATAGAAAAACAACATACGGATGGCCTTTAGCAAAGCAGTAGTAGTAGTTTTTTTGTTTTGTGCGCTAAAATTGATAAAAAATTAGAAAAGGTAATTAAACATAAAATTACTTGCAGTTCTGGCAGTTCAGTCCTTGCAGTTGACGTTTCAAAAGTACCAAATTATGATTTAATTGAAATAAATGCTTTTGAGTTTGAGTTTGAGTACTTGAAAAACTAAGGGAATAAAATATTAAAATGTAACCGAAAAACAACTCTTTGCTAAAGTCTGTGTTTCCTGAATAACCTGGGTGTGTTCAAGGCCTTCATGGGCAGGCGTGCTCCATCGTAGGCCGCATCATCGCTTACCACCAAATAGTGGTAGATAGTGGTCAATCGTCGGCCCATCAAATATATACATATAAAAAACATTTAGCATAGGATTTTAAAACGCAAATAAAGTAGCGAATTAATGTCAGTACTTAACTTATTAATAAAGTACATGTTTAATGGATGCGGCAATGTCAGAAACAACAATAGTTCTTAACCAACTTTAGGTAACCTAGAACTATTACATCAGTCATAGTTAGTTACGTACTTGTTCTTGAACAATCGGATATTATTAAGAAAATATACAATGTTTACTTCCAGTGAAGGTTTTACATGAATACCTATTTAAAGTGAAGGTCGACACATTAAATGTACATAAAGATCTTTAAAGAAGTAATCGTAAACAAAATAAACGTATGATTGGTTTGATTTTACACTTAAACGCATTCAATTCCGATCCTTGAATTTTGCATAGCATATATTTCTTAGTCACGTATTTCTAGTAATTGTGATTTATTGTTAAATCATAAAGTTAATCACGAAATTGAAGACCGCAACGCTAGCGTATCCGTAATTGTGACGTCACGGATTTTCCTTGCACGTTTTATTCATGAATGCAAATTAAGATAACACTGTTTATTAAAAGTTGAACTTTTAATTAAATTCTGATAAACACATTGTTAGTAGTGAACCGTTCCGTATAAATTAAATGTTTATATGTAAACGCACCTTTACTCTTAAGTAGAGACAAGTTTTTAAAATTCTCTTGCAATCTGTAATCTGTATATCTATTTTAAAAACACCCATTGTAACATGGAATAAACATATTTTACATATTATTTTACCCATGCAAAAACTATTACCAACAGCAACTATAACATCGATTTGTGAAATCCGATAAGGCATAGATTAACTTAACGTAAAACCAAATATCAACGCGGGTCAGTTGTCGATATTCAGCCTATTGTTATGCACCGACTGCACTATTAGACTTGGTATGCACGGCAATACATAGTGTACTGTAGTTACACGGTACATAATTGTCGTTGAATGTAGAACGGGTACGTGTTAAGCTTAGGGCATTCACACCGTTCGACTTTTCATACAAATGAAGATGGATTCTTAGCAAGGTGTAATTTAGTTTGTTGATGGCTTTAGAGTGAGTTAAATGTGTATGTGTCAAACTTTATAACTGACTTCAACATTTTCTCAAACATTTGTCTTAGAGGTAACGTTACTATGTTGACAGTTTAACCTGTAGATACACCCAACATTTAACATGGTTTAACACCCAAAGGGCTATCTAGAATTTACTTAAAATATATTTATCACTTAATTTCTTCCGAAGTTCATTTCTATCAGTACCTATGTACCTCATGCTTGTCATAATTGGTTGTCCTTTGTAATATTGTCTTCTGTATGGTGTACATGAAATGGTAATAAATAAATAAAAAAAATAAGCTTGTATGAAAGTGTAGAGTAAATCTGTTGAGACTGCGCAGACGTCGACGGCGCCGTTCGTCTAACGGTGTCGGAATTCTCAGCGACAGCTTGGCATCGGTCAAGTGGCACACGCACAAAAACTGATCGATAAACATCATTCACGGGTCCAGAATAAGTAGCCCAAGTATAAGTAGAGTAGTTGCTAGTTACCGTTCGCCCATAAAATGTTTAATACTTATTGTAGCCCACATAATTTTTTGATTGATCTCTACTTATTTGTAGGACGGTTTAAACTGGTTTTGTTTATCCGTTTGTGCTTGTTCCCCTTTCCATAACAAGATTCTGTGTCGCTCTGCTCTGCTATTAGTAGGTGACTGATGTATTTGTAAGTAGACAGTTCTGTTTTATACTTAATTTTAGACTGACTCGTTGGTGAAGTGGTCGTTAATGCGATTGCCAAGAGTATTTCAGTACGATTCAAAGTACTACGTACTAAGACATTTGTATGGTAATAGGCTCATCCCTTATTACACGGAGCAAAGCATAGTTTATGAAAAGTAGCCGTAATAATATATATATACTAGCGACCCGCCCCGGCTTCGCACGGGTGCAATATGCATGTATTATACATATAAACTATCCTTAAGAATCACTCTATATGTTAAAAAAACCGCATCAAAATCCGTTTCGTAGTTTTAAAGACCTAAGCATATATAGGGACAGACAGACGGCGGATAGCGACTATGTTTTGTACACCTCTACCAGCTATGCCTATCCCTTCAGGGATTGAAACGCGTGACGTTATTATGTTATACTTGATATTTGGTATAATTGAAAGAAGCACTAGGTTTTACACGCTCGGTAGGCTGGTTGGTTCTTACTATATGTATAAGTACTAATATACTCTTCTTGAATGTTTCAGATGGAGGTAACGCACACGCTGAAGCGAATGCGAATGCTCGCAGTGGCGGCTGGAATCTTCCTTCACAACAATACGGCGCTTCTAACCCTGCCCTGCTAAGGTATAACCATTAATGACTTAAAACAATTATTTCTTACCAACAAATATTACATTTTTTTTTATGGCATAAGCCGGTACCTAAACGAGGAGACGGATCACCTGATGGTAAGCAATCGGTGTCGCCCATGGACACCTGGAACACCAGAGGCGTTACAAGTCCGTTACCGGCCTTTTGGGGATTAGGAGTTTGAGGATCGTTGGGCATTTAGGAATTGGGGAGATTGGGGAAGGGGAGAGTAATTGGGCCTCCGGTAACCTCACTCACACGATGAAACACAACGCAAGCGTTGCTTCACGTCGATTTTATGTGAGGCCGTGGTATCACTTCGGTCGAGCCGGCCCATTCGTGCCGAAGCATGGCTCTCCCACACTTAAACTTAACATCAGTACAATTTCCCTGAGAGAGAGGTTCAAGGTACAGTTTCTGAACAATAAGTGCCGCAAAGATAACCCACTGCTCGGCTCCTATTGCGTAGCGTGATGTTTTATAAGCCCATATAATATATAGCTTTAAATGGAGTATTCAGTGCAAAAGTATTTTTGTGTATTAAATAATATGCAATTCGAACCAGCAGTGTAATAAGTTCTGGCGATTATGTAGCGTTAAACAAAAAACCGCTTCAGCTTTATAATATATCAAGTACATACATCAAATTAATTAAAACTAATATTAATTAAAGAACTAATATCGATTTTTCATTTCACGTGAAACTTGGGCAAGTTCAGGTTTCATTTCAGGTTACCTTGGGCAATATTTTGAGAACTGTCTGTCCTATACCTCCCGAAAGCATCCAAGATTTTTACATGCTTCGTTGCACATACTTACTATTAAATTCTATGTAATTACGGCCTGTTGCATGTCTGATTAAGTTTCTTTTATTCTAAAAATAACGCATAATTTAACGTATTTTCCATACAAAATGTGTTATAATAAATTCATTTAAATTAACAGTAACTTAATTAGACATTGTAGCAATTGTAATTGTAACTAGAGAGTAACTTGTTTATTTTGTGTGTTCCTAGGCATTAGTTGGCGGCAGTGAGTAACTAGACTAACTTCATGGTGTCGGCCCATCCATCCTGAACGCGTATTTTCCACCAGTTGCACGCCCGCCGCGCTCTGCGCCTGCGCACACGCTGTGCAACTGCCGGAAGATTCTTTCCTATTTATTGTAATTAATAATTATTAATACACAGCTTAATAAATGTTTAAAGCAATTTCATTTTTATTAATATCATTTATTTATCTTTAAGTAACTTACTGATTGAATAGCCACAAGTGCGACTACTAGACATGGGATCTCAGGTTCGATTCCTGGGTCAAAAATAGTCGAAAAAGAATGGAACTAAAGAAGCAATAAGCCTTCTATTATCACATACTTATCACGACTGGAAAAAGTAGGTAGGTATTACCTATATTGAATATGTGCCTCTGCTTAGTGCTTACCCCTTCCAGGATTTAAATACTTAGGTAGGTTAGTGCTTATTTAATGTCACATTTTGTGCTTATTATCGACATTCATAGTTGACGACAGTCCGAATATTCATAGTCAAGAAAATTCATAACTAATAATTATGTTTACAAAACTGCATACAAAAGACATCAACGCGTTGTGCGCACTGTTAGCTGCTACGAGATTACTACGAATTCGTAAAATAACTTTTTTCATTGCTGCACTGAATTATTGTGAACGTGGTTAGATTTACTTTAGTAATGTTTTATTGGCCATCTGCAGAGTGGTAACAAGCGCTGTCAATCAACAAGGTATTTCGTTCGACTCCCAAGTAGTGCAAGGCGTTAAATTAGTATTTCTTTTGCTGGACTATGGAATTTATCTACATAAGAGGGATTGCCATAATCTTCATGATAGATATACATATAATATAGTTTTTCAACTCATAGGCGTTTTATGGTTATGGTGCAATAAAACATCTCTGTACCAAACTAGACATCATGAAGCCTTATTTTCACAATGAATGACGATTCCATTCTTGCAGTTGACTGTAAAAGGAAATACGCGTCTCTGTCTGCTTACATTATTAAAATCGGTCTCATTGTATGTTTATAGAATTCAATGAAATATTCATAGCAATTTTAAATATTCGCAAAGGGCTAGCGTGCAGATACCAACGTTTTCACAATGTGGTTTCTTCTGAAAGTTAAATGTACCTACATACATAAATAAGTAGAAAATCAATTCTATTGCTTTTAAAACTAAGAAGATCTGGCGGAGTAGAACCTAGTAGATGTTGGTTCTGCTAGGGTATTTTATAATTTTTAATTCGAAAGATTAAAGATAAATCGATCGCGGTGGTACCAAAAACCAGTGGGCCAGAATGCGATCGAGCTAAATTCATTGAAATTTGGCACTTTTGTTTAATAAAAAGAAAATTCATACTTTCCATGGAAATTTTGACAACTTAGCAAAAGAACAAGAAAGGTGTACTTGTAAAGGAAACATTAGTTTTTTGCACTTAAACGAAACAAAAGATTATAGGTACTCTGTTTTAAAAGGGCGCTTACTTGTAGCCATATCTGAAGTCGCAGATGTCCATGGGTAACGGGTCATCTGGGCGCTTACTCTCGAAACCAATCTCAATATCAACACAATTTCAATCCAATAAAATTTCAATAATGATTAAATGTCAAAACTATACAACCCCTACCGTAGCTGTTAAAATAGCATTCAGAGTGCGGAATATAAAGCCGAACTCAGTACTATTTAGTTCATTAAATATTCACGCAATACGGATGCAATGGGCGCTAATTTTGCAACTCAAGAAATTCACAATACCAATATCGATTGATCGGAATTGGATTCAAGAGTAAGCCACCTGTTTGCTCATTGGCTGCCAATCTCATAGAACAACCTTACATATCAGAATATACACTAAAACCTGTTTTTTATAACATTTTGTACAGGAACTCCTACGAACATAGGTGATTATTTTGATATACTCCTTTCAGCTCTGGTATGACGCGGCGTCAGTATGGACCGGTGTTGGGAAAGTCAGTGGTCGCCAGCACATCCGTGGGTCTGGACAGCAATGGACAAGGCTACTACGACCAGACAGCTTCAGTCAACTAAATATTAGTTCCTCTCGTTTATTGAAACATTGCGTAAGCTGTAGGTACAGGTTTATTTAAAAGTCTTAGGTAAATGTTTGAACTTTGACTGCTTCGTTGACCGAGAGTCGCACTTGCTACCAGCAAGTGCGACTCCCGGCCAAGGGGTGTCGGATTCGATTCCCGGATGGGGCAAAGTATTACTGGGTTTTTTCGAAAATTCTTAATAGTAACATGGAGTCTGGAAATGTGCCCGATATGGCAATAGGTTCACCCCCTATTACATGGGACTTATAAATTGTGAAAAGTCGGTGTTACATTGTACAGTAGAATGAGTATAGAATTGTTATGAATGCTATTTATGTCAGTCGGAGGAGCAGGAGTTTCCTTAATGTAATGGGAAGATTCGTTACAGAAGTATTTATTTGACAATTAGGCATTGGTAGTTCCTTGTGGCTAAGTAAGAAGAGAAAATTGTCAAAGTAAACTTTGAAATTTAAAATCTCATGAGTCAACGTATGATAATTTCATACAAAATTCTTATCAGCCTTTACGCGTAGACTGTACCTCTAATATAGGTTTCTTGGTTGAACAATCGAACATGTTTCTCTCAAGTATTCGAGAAGAATTAAGAAGGTGGGGTCATATCTTTGTCCTAAGATCACATAACTCATGAGATAGGAAATATTTGTTGTCATTGCAAGATATTTTAATGTCAATAAATCATAGATCGGTAAAGGGACTTATGTCGACTTATGTTGTAAATCTAGTAACTAATACAGTCAAGTTCACGACCTTTGAAGTTATCCTATTTGTAATCCTACTCGTATTTTATTATTTAAAATTACACAACTGTAGAAAGATAACGTAATGATTTAGATCAATAAATGAACTTTTTGAGACAGGCCCAGATGTACTAGATTAAATGACTATAATATCTTGAAGCTAATTAGTTACTATCAAATCTTACAATAAAGGAAACATAGTCGTAAAGGTTGATTAACAATGTTTTATCTTTAGATAAAAGGGGCTCTATATTATTTAGATATTATGGACTTATGGAAGATTAGAAATGAGTAACAAAACCTGTATTAAACTTATAGCTTACGCAATTGTTGTAAATACCAAATTGTATAATGGGACACTATCTATTTATCTACGTCTTTCATAACAAATGACAAATTGTTTACCAATATTGTACCTACTTTGTTACTTCGGTATACTATTGTTTAAGGTTTTTCAATGTGCAATAAATAGGAATAATTTATATTATATTCATGTTTCAGGATGGTTTAAGTTGTAAATAAAAAAATAAAATCATTTAAATAATTTTATTGCATTTACAAAATTCGTGTCATTCAATTTTCAGAGAGCACATTACAATTGATAGTGAAGTATTATAAAACCCGTAGTCGAATCGCTTAAACTAGATTGTTTACATAATTGTTACAGAGAAATTCAATCAGACACTTGATCGAGAGGACATTTGACAATTGAATACTAATGGAGCTTGGCTTGGATGGAAGGCCAAAATTCTTAACACTGCGAATTAGTGTTTTGACAATCTCATTTGTTAATTGTGATTTCCAAAAATCTTGTAATATACGCTACCCATGTCTTTCTGTGACACATTTTTAATACTAACTGTATATTATTGAAGTAGCATGATTTTGTACGTAGTTGTTAGATTTGACCCGTAAAACTGAACTGGACCGAGTTTAATGATCTTTAACCAAGTTTTGTTTGAAGATCTTACTTAAGCAGCTGACAAGGCGTCGCACTTATAATTAAAATATTTGGCAAGTACACGTTGTTCTTCACACATGGGCAAATATGAAATATTTACCGAAAGAAAACACAGACAGTAAATTAAACAAAAAAGTGCAATGACTAAATTTACTTAGCGTCTACGGTCAGTCAGTTAGTAAAGTGCATCGGTTTATTTGTGGGGCAGTTCCAACCTGTACTGGGGCCTGTCATACGTGTACCCCTGGTCCGGTGAGGGCTGGGGTGCAGGCACTGGCACAGGTGCTGGCGCTGGTGCAGGAGCTGGCGCTGGGAACTGCGGGGGCTGCACTGGTGGCACAAACGGAGGTGTCACTATCACTGCATCGTCAGTTATTCCTACGTCGCGAGCTGATGGCACGAATCGCTGTCCGATTTGCTGAGGAAACTGTTGAGGGAATTGCTGATGGAATTGTTGCGGGAACTGTTGAGGTACTTGCTGATAGAACTGCTGCTGGCCAGAGTAGTATTGAGGCTGGAACCTGGATGGAACTCCGTACTGTTGAGACACGTCGTACTGACTGGGCACACCGTACTGTGCAGGCAGTTCCATACGCCCGAACATATTTCCCAGGAACGGGAACTTGTTAGTCAATGTAGCCCATAGTCCAGTTCCTCCGACTTGATTGCTGCCTGTATTTCCCCAGAAAAGTCGCTGAGATGGTTCCTGAATTGAGTTATGGTTGACCCCCACTGAATATGGGTTGTTTGGGGCAGAGTAGTAGGACGCTTCTCTTTGCGGGTAGTCGGCTATGCTGCTACCTATAAAAAAAGAAGTCACCGTTAGATTTCTAACAACTAAAAGAAAAGTATTGACAGTTCATTAATTTCACTGCACGTACCGACGAAGAAGCACATTACAAAACAGATGTACGCATACATTTTCGATCGAGTTGTTGAACTCCAACTGTGAGCTATTGTTGCTCGTCTTTCCATTTATACCTCCTCTATTTGCTCCTAAACGAGGACCTTGAAGTAAAATTCTCGTAACCCAGTATTGAAAGTGTGAGGTAATGACGGCTCACCCAGCGGTGGACGCGGCGTGGACAATAGGCGGGACATCTAGGTGACTCGTGCGCCGCCGCCCGCCGGCCACACGCACAGGTTGTAACTAAATCATTCTGCGTGTGTTCACGGAAAACAACAATAGACATTTCGTAATTATGTAATAATGAACTTTATAGGAAGTTTTATTAATGGGTGAAACTTACGCATAATTTAAGCTTCAGAGGTCTTAATTCGAGTATATTTGTAGTTACCGCACGCAAACCTGCAGGCAGAATTGGCGTTTTAGCAATTATCGATAGAAATAATTATCCTTTTTGTAAGAAAGTGCTGAAATAACATTTATTTGGACTATTGTTACTTATTCTTTAAATAAAGGATGGAAATTTTTTTGTCCACGCAAATTTCATTAATATTATTCAGGCCACGGTATTGGTTACAAAGATCACAAAATAATGACTTGGTTGGGATTTGATGTGGTAAATACAATACTAAGACCATCTAGAGATAATACGTACGAAAGTGAATAAAAAAATAGAAATGTATACTTAGCTTACTTTATATCGACACAGTTCTTTCAAAAAACCATAATAATATAAAAAACTCAATTCAAAAAATTCACACACACTGTATACGATAAAGATTCGTGAAAAATGCACTGAGTCGCGTGTGCGTGTGTTTACTCAACATAATCGGCATTATTCATAAGATAACAAGGTAGGTGTTTGTCTTCGCCGCTTGTCATGGTATTGTCGACCACAGAAGCGTTTTGCGAAACGTTGCTCAACCACATCCAATACAGACTTCAAATGGAATAGATAAGGATGTTTACACGGTCGCACCTCACGACTGTCCCTGTCCATGTACCCAATGACTTATTCATAATTTCCGGCGGTTTGCTATTTGCGTACTCCAATTATTTGAATTATCGTAATCGTCAACGTTTTGTAGCGAGGTCGTGTTGCGCTCCAAGCGCCTGCAGTTTGCCCGATTCATTCAATCGTTATGAGTACTGTGAACAGCAAACACTTGACAGGCGCTATGGTAATTTAATATTACAGAACAGTTAGAACACCTAATTAAATAACAGTAGTTTCATGAGTAACGATTGTGTAAAAGTGAAATAATTATTCACATCCCTATTAACCGCATTGTGACAGCTTCATTTATTGTGTTTCTTTAATAAATTGAAACATATTTGATTAATTCGCAGTTATTAATCTTATCTTTAGATCTGCCCAGCTTAAAGTTCAATGATTGTGCAGGGAAAGCGGGCTGACCTGCGCCTGCGCCGAGTTTCGCGACCGGCGCCGTGTGAGGTCGTGTTATTGTTGACATAGATTAAGCTTCTGCCTATTACGATGACTTCTTTTGTAATTTCTAATATTAAAGGCAAAAACTAATATTTGCCTAGTGTATATTCTGTTTCGTCATAATGTATTCCTGCGGTGCACTTCAGTTGGTTAAGAAATATTGAGTCAGATTATTGATATTTTTCTTTAATTGCTTATATGCAACTCACCTTGGATTGCATATAAAGCGTGAAAATAAAGTTGTGTCGATAGTTCTGTAGTTGCTCGCGTGAGTTACGGATAAAGTGCTTGCTAGGAGGTCGAGTAGGTATTAGATTTTTAAATTTAGATTTAGTTAGTATTTTTAGGTTTTTTAGTGTGTAGCATTGTACATAGTAGGCATACTGAAATCACCATTGCAACACAGATAATGATGCATAAGTGATGCCTTACTTCAACAAACCTTTTCCTTATTTATTGCATTTTTGTAATTTTATCACGTAAAAACAGGAAAATTTCAATATAATATTTAGGTACTAACTATTTTTTGTAAGTTCGAAACCATTAACATGGACCTTATTATATCTTTGTTACATTAAAAGGCTATTGATTGATACTAATGTATGTTACCACAAGGTTTTTTGCACACAATTAATTGGGTATATCCATGATGCGAGGAAATTCATTATCAATTCTTTTTTTTTGTATTTTTTTAAACTTACAAAAAATATGCTAAATGTACTTTTAATGCTTCATTGATCTTCAGTTCAATGCGTAGTCTGAGTATCAATTGTTTGGTAATGTTTTCTTGAGTATGTGGATTGGAAACTCTATTCCGCCGAGCAAGCGTCTTCGTATGAAAAGCGACCTTAGTTCAGAAATAGGACAGTCTAGGCTGATAACTAAGTTCCTTAGAAATAAATAACTTTATTTTTCCTACAGAGGTCTCCAAAAATAGTCATTTATTGGTGTATTACAAAAATAAAACAGCCGCAATAATCTTCTTTTTCTAATAGATCAAGTTTATGGTTTTATGTTATATAGAGTTTATAGAATACTTAAACTAGATTACAATAATCGTGACGGCATTATACAATACATTGTTGATGGATACCTTACAAGTACTCTTGAATGAGGAAGCTAAACAGAGTTCAGATTTAGTGACTTATAGTTCCGTATGTTAAAGATAGTGTTGTATGTTAAATATGAATTTCCTGTTCTTGTTAGTTTCGTTCAGAAACAAATGTTTATCTTAATTTGTATTTATAGTAAGGGTTTGTTATAATAGTAATCAGCAGACTTACCTTTACCTGCGATTTTCGGGAACATGTAACTATTTCTGAGAAGAATATTGCAGTCTTACCTATTTTATTAGATACCGAGGTTGTTTTTTATGGCATTACGCAACTGGTGAAAATTAAGCAAGTATGAGATGACACTATGTGCAGTGTAGTTAGAAACACGTGTAGATAGGTTTGTATGTTCATTCAATTCGGGGAATTAAATGCGTGTTCTGTGTGTCATGAAAATATGTATGCCGTATGTGAAGATCGTATAAATAGACGACCATTCCCGATATTTCTAGATAGCTTTTAGTTCGGAGAGCCTGAGAGTATACATTTCGATTGGTATATGGATTATTTCGAATGTAGGAAACAGTCACAAACACGCACAGTTAAAGGTATTATTAATGACTACCCCTAAAGGTGGCAAGATTGAATTTATGCAGTAAATATTTGAATAAAGTACATTTTATCTAATAAAAATTGACATTCTAAATACCGCCTTACGTAAACAATGTTAAAGTTTAGTTTAATCTTTTTTTGTCAGTTGCTACGCTTGTTAATAATTGAGTGATCTTATCTTCTTCAGTTTTTTACACAGGTTGGGTAGGTCTGTAGGTGTTTGTATGTAAATGTACATACGTATGTATGTAATTATATACATAGGAATCGTCTTCTTCTAAAGGAGCATTATATAAATTGATCTTTGTAATTAATTAGTTAGATATCTGATCTATGATTCAATCAGTGCTCTTTGACAACTAAGTACGTTGTTAGGGTTGTCTAGTCAGTTTTTGGTGTGTTCTGTAAGTTATTTTAGTTTTAGGAACTGCATTTACCTATTTTTGTAAGGTAATCCTAAATTAAGTAGCGTTTGATGATATTAACGTACATACATTCGAAGCTAACAGATTTTTCTTATTCACTTTATTTGATAGAAAAATTTATAGTTTGCAGGCAAAACACTGTAGACTCATAATGCTAAAACGTACACTTCATGTAGTAGGTTTTACTTAAGTTTATTTCAATAGAAACGAGATACCTTATTCATAGGCTTTTACTATGCAGTCATTTTACGGTTAAACCGTTTTGTATCTACTTATGTATTTGTAAATATTGCAATGCGGTATAAACGTTTACGCACATAGCGCCAGGTTAATGCTATGGCCGTCTTGAAAGGAATAATAAGCAGTCCTTCACATATAATATAATATGCTGCATAAGTCCTTTGTGTCAGTACCATTATTGTGAATTAAACGGTACATTTATATACCATGCCATCATGTCCTTTAACTTGCATGTAACGAAAGATATTGATTACTTGTGTAGGGGTCATATTCCCGTTTTTGTTGTAATAAACTTTATCATACGTATAGTAAGTACTGCTCGATTGAATAGTTGCCCTTTTATAAGAATGAAATGTCCTGCATAAGTCTGTCAAATTAATAAGGTCTAGATTAACTAAAAATCGCGGGTTACTCACGTGAAAATACTGAGAAAAACTTTTTAATGGGAATAAGCCGGTAAACCAGCAGACGGATCACCTGATGGTAAGCAATCGGCGTTGCCCATGGACACTTGGAACGCTAGAGGCGTTACAAATGCGTTACCGGCCTTGTGGGGATTAGGAGTTTGAGGATTCATGGATTGGAGAGATTGGAGAAGGAAGGGAGGGGGGGAGGGGGTAATTGGTCCTCTGGTTACCTTACTCACATGACGAAACATGACGCAAGCGTTGCTTTACGTTAGTTTTCTATAGGGCCGTGGTATCCCTTCAGTCGAGCCGACCCATTCTGGCCGAAGCATAGCTCTCCCACACTTAAAACTAGTTTCGACCACAGATGGTTTCTTCCTCCTCGGACCTCGAGTTAGAAAAAAATAGATTTGCGGAATCATTACTGGTATTTCATAACTGGCAAAGAGTAATCAGGAATGCTTCACATATAGTTTGGTGGATAACTTTTTTCTAAACGTAAAAAAAACAAAATATCACGCCTATAACGCAGCAAAAACAGTGAAACATCACGTTTCATATTTATTCATATTGACAAGGAATAAAATAGATTTCATTAAGTAGAAATTTTAATTATATTAGTTAAATGAAATAACATTTTTTGATTAAGTCTATCATTTCTTGTCAGATGATTTATGTTAATTAAATAACAAAAAATAATGACAATATCTGCCAATGAAGTTCAATCTTAATAACGCCAATTTCATGGTCGACTATGCGTCTTCTATTTCTTTTTTTAAATTTGTTTCATAGAGACATCCATATCGCACAGATTATTAATAAAAAGCTAGCGGTCATTGTTCGGTGACACAAGGTGACTGGCTATGATGATGAGTCCGGTATTATTATTCAACAGTTCTTACATTGTTATTATTTTTAAGTAAATATACCATAACGCACACGATGATGTGGCTCACAGCAAAAAAGTCGTTAGCCATTCCATACACAAGTTTTAAAAAGTCTTACGAACTACACAATAGAAGTTTAATTTTGTAAATTCTCG